GAATTCTGGGAGTTGAAGTCCACCCATCTTAACGTTGCTGAGGAACCCTGCATTATAGGATTCATGCCTGTAAAGTAAAAAGGAAGGAGGAGAGATTTTTTTCCCCACCTTTTCCTTTTTAAAAACAGTTTGGTCTCCCACTGACACCAAAAAGCAATCACAGCCATGTTTGTCTATGAAGGAAAAAATCTAAATTCCATGGTTGGGTGTATCTTTATCAACACCAAAGTAACAGAAGAAAGTGTACAAGCTTCTGAGTCCTCCAGATCTGTTCATTAGGAAAAGTGCTATAAAAAGAAACAAAGTCCAAAAATTAAGGTAGATGTTTTAACCCATTTTGTGCAAACTGAATGGTTGCTGGTATTAGATTACAGTCATGGAAAGTTTTTGGATTCTGTCATTCTATGGCTGTCACGGCATATCCTCTCTGACAGAGAGTGACTAGGCCAAAGTCATCCAATAAGTTTGCATGGCTAAGAATGGACCTGAACCTACTACAACATCTTAACCACTACACATACCTGCTACAGTTTGAGTATACATGAAGAGAATAAAATATAGATAATGCTGAGAGTACAAGTTTAACTTTGATTTACAATAGCCAGTTTCTCATAATATGTAACTGATCAGATTTCCAAATTATTTCTAGGAATGTACTGTGTAAAACCACTATTTTATTGCAAGTGAAATGTAATACCTATTTTAGAAAGTGGTACATTTATAGAAATAATTATCTCCATGTATGACTGAAGCTAACAGGCTAAAAACTTCAACAAAAAAACTTTCATAAAAATCAAAACTACAATGCATTACAAGATAGATAGATCTCCCTCAAATGTATATATCTGTTGAGTCTGATGTATATATATATTCTTTTACACACGTTGCCCAGGTATTAGTCCCGTTTCACCCTACAAAACAAAGACACACTTAAGTTTAACTTGTTTCTATGAATTTTAAAGAGATTTAAAGACACACATGCCCTTTAGTGCAAGGTACAGATTGTACTTGAGCACTGACATAAATAAATGAAATCATAGCTTGTAGCAACTGATGCTGTCACTAAACACACAAACATATTAACCAATAAACTTGGAAATTAATGATGAGAATGGTTTTAAGCATTTGATGCAGCCAGCAGAGATGTATTAATTAGACACCAAATGATGAAGCTTGCTGTCAGCAGATGCCACGAACAGCAGCAGAAATGCCACCACCAACCCCCCTACATGGGCTGGGGCAAAAACTACAATAGAGAAAAAAGTAAAGGTCAAGCAGCTTTTCCCAGCACAATACTCTCCAGTTGGACTACAACTCCCATCATCTCTAACCAACGCGGAAGCTGCGTGAAGAAACAAGAAGACATAATGGAGGCCAGGGATCGGATTGCAACATGAGTGAGCGTTTAGCGCTGTGAAAAGCAGTGAATTTGAGGGAAGGTATTTCTTAGCGTCACTTCATTGAAATGAAGTTCGCGGCTGTCTCTGCTAGAAAAAGGATAAAGTCAAGGCGTTCCCCTAAAACTTCATCGCGTCTGATTTAAAATTGATCTTTACATTCCTGGGATTTACCATTTACAACTAGACATATTAGCATGCACTTCCTGGTCTGAAGGCTTTTTCAAATCGCCAAATCCAGCTTTCCTGTCCCGATTTCATGTGCCTTGGCTTCCTAACATCGAACTTACTCCGGAAAGAGGGCTGGCGTTTTCACAACCTGGTTATCACTTCCGAAAAGGACCGCGCTCAACATTCCTGGGGACCGGCTTTACACAGAGGATCATCACGAGGTCCCCGGACAAGTAGCGACAGGATCTTCTCCCCCGCTCCCCATCTCCCCAAAATCCTCGGACCTCGAGCTCGGCTGGGAGGGGGGAAGTGCTTACGCATCGGACTATCCCATTAGGATCGCAAGCGAGCCCAACAGCCCACCAAGAATCTACAAGCGCGGGAGCCAAGTTGCTAATCCAAGCCTCGCTAAAACTTTTTTACGGCCGCTCCAAAGCAAAGCCCTGCTTCCCAGGAAACCCGTCTCCTTCACCATGTAAGAAGAAGAATTTGTTTCCCGCAAAATGCCACGCGCCCCTTCCTTCATCCGTCCACTCACCCGCCGCCTGGGCGCCCGCTAGCAACCCCGAACCCTTTACGAATCCTTTCTCCTTTACGGGCGGCCCCTGCAGGCGTTAAGCCACCCCAGCCCTTACAGCTCGAACACTTTAGAAAAGCACGCTCTGCGCAAGCGTCATTCCAAAATTCAACTCCACCCCCGCGATTCCTAATGGTGGAGGAAGAAAGAAAGCCAAGCTGTAAAGGGTGGGTGTGGGAGGAAAAGCTGAGCGAGAAGCGCCGGGAGCCCCGCCCTGACTCGCTCGGATCCTTTCAGTACAGTAATCAATCCCGTGTTATTTTCTTCTCCGTCCTCCCGAGGTATAATAGTTTGCGTTTCCAATTCACTTAAGGGCAGAAGGCAACGGAAATGGTTTCAGAGTTTAAGGCAACGAATTGAATTACCCTCCCTTAAAGATGGTTCTCCAAAAAATCAATTAAAATGCCGAGTAAATACTTTCTCAGTTTTGTCCTGGAAAGTCTGCAGGACCCATGATAGGAATTGCTATATAAATGAGCTGACTGAATGAAGGAATGTTTTAAGATACTTTTTTCAGGACGGTCCAGCCTGAATGATTCTTATGGCCAGCATTTTAAAACACAACTTTCTCAGGAAAAATTAGGACAGCTTAATTGTTGCATAAGACTAATTTTGTGAAACCAACACTCCTTCTAAAGTTGATTACAAATACTTAAAAAACTGGGCATTATAATTACATTATTTTTACCTTACACCAGTAAATTTTGAGTATATTATTGTTGTTGGTTGCACAGTCACCCAGTCAGTTAGACTGGATTTGGCATTTTTATCCACCTATCAAGTCCTTCTCAAAGACCTGGGATAGGCAGATGTTGTTTGATGGCATTAAAAGTATCATTGCAGGATGTAAGCTGTT